ATGCAAACATTTTCAAATTTGGCAAATTGCATGACAAAATGCAGTGCGGCAAAATGTTTTGTGGCAACCGACACATTTACGCTTCAACTCTAAGCTTAAAAGCCAAAACGATTGTGCAGTTTACAATCGCACTACTGCAAACATAAAAAAAGGCTATGACCTAAATAAACAGCAATTTAAAAGAAACTTTAGTTACTTTCATTATGCCCAAGCATGTATTCAGAGTAACATCTGCATCACCATCTCATAATTATAAAAATATTCTTTTATACGTGTTTCACAAAAGCAGTAAGTCCCTTGTGTAAGCCTTTTGATATTCAATGCATGGCGCGCAAAAGTATGCTATGGTTTGGTAACATTTGCTTAAAGTCTAGCTGAATCTAGTGCTGTAAAACGCCAAAAGCGCTATCGATGTTATCGATATTGCGCCTTCATTGTTATATAATAGTTTGTTTTGGTTGATTATCGAATTATTATTTAATAATTAATAAAAATAAATAAAAAATTGATAAATGACTTCTTAACTGGTTTTGCTAAGTTGTGAACTCCTTTGTTAGTTTTCCAACACTTGTTATGAGTGCTGGTGAATTAAAACTTGCTTTTATTTTAAGCTAAATTTATTATTATTTGGTTTAAACCTTTAACGTGTTTTTTAAGCTATTTATACAAATTGTATTCCATTTAGCTTGCCGTCTCTGATTTTAAAACTAAGCCTTCCATATTCAGCGTTTGTTATTGAGGCTTGAGAACTTTTGCAATTATTATGCAACAAGTAGCGTCAAGGGAAATACCAAGCAGCTTAAAACATGTACGCTCCTGCTGTGTGTATGTGAACGTGTGTGTTGTGGGAAATCGCTGTGGTAGAATGAAAAATTAGAATAACCAGAGCAGTGCAAAACCGCAAACAAACATGGGTGTAACTAAAAGGCGACGAGCAAAAGACGAACCTGGTTTTGGGTGAGGCAGGGTGAGCGATGACTGGTGCATGCCAACACCATTGTTGCACATGCCGCACAGCGTTGACTCTCCTTGGACGCATTTTCCACTTTAAAGCCAAAAAGGCAAACACTGCCGCAAGCAGAGGTTGCTCCTGCCGCGGCAAGCGTATAACGTGCATCATACCCTGGGTGTGTGGGTGTGTGTGTATGTGTGTGTGTGACACGGCTACGTGACTGTGTTGCCAATCCGCCTCGCTAACCGCCCGTCGCCGCTTTGGGCGTGCTAAGCGCCGTTGATGGCCAAGACCAAAATGCAATGTTGCAATTTGCCAAATTGAAAACACGAAAATGAAAGCGGGCCGACGAGCCAAAGGACTTGACATGACGCGGGGCTACAAAGTAGCCGCCAAGTTAATTTACGCTAACGTGTGTGCTGCGCATTGCCCCCTGCCGCCATGCCCGCTGCCGTGACACGCACGTCATTTGCGCGTAATGGGCACTTCCGCTTGCAAAATGGCGCTTGCACTTGGCAACAAGAATGTGGCCGCTAATTCTCTAATTTCCAACGGACAGCGGCCGTTGTGAGCATGAACAACTACAAAGCTCACATAGGCTCTTCGCCCCCAACTCCCACACCACCCTCTTGTGGCTATCTATTTATGGATGCATGCTGCGGCAGGTGCCCCCAGGTTGCCCAGCATTTGCATGCCAACTATAGCCGAGACTGCCGTCGCAGCCGACATGCTTGCGTCGCATTTTAATTAAAAATAACTGCAAAAAAACTGTTTTTAATTAACGGAAATATGAGCAACACGCCGTGCGGCCTGTTGCCGTTGCATGTGTATTATTTGCCTTGTTGCAATTTACCACTGAAATGTGTGAGTAAATATTTAAGAGCTTCATTTGCGAGTGCACATATTTAACTAAGAGGGCGTGAGAGCGAGTGTGTGTGTATAAGCATGTGTGTGCACAGCACATACCTGGCCAATATCTAAAAGACCAAATACAACAGCCCCGATTTGTGTGGCTTTGTTTGCACCGTCTAACCACATTGGTATGCTTCGATGCGTGCCACATCCCGTTGCTCATTTCCGGTCAACCCAACAAACTTCATCGGCAGGCTTTTGTTGCTGTTCTTGTTATTGTTGTTGTTGTTGTTGTTGTTGTTCTGTGTGTGCTCCTCGCATAATTTACCCATATTTGTGGCACACTAATTGCGGCACATCACTTTGTCCGCCGCTGCATTGCAATTTGCCCACGTCGAGCGTCAGTTCCTAAGTTATGCAAATTAGCTGCGATGTTTTGTTGACTGACACAGACCAATGGTAGACAGGAAAGGCTTTAAGGGATAGGCCACGTCCTGTAAGAGCGACCAAGCTGCACGCTCTGCGCATTCTAAACACATTTGCATAGCCTTGATTACGCAAATTCACAAACATTTCAATGCGCGCCCGAGTATAAATAATGTCTACCATTGTGCTGTGAGATGCAATATATTCTATAATTTAAGCCTTATTGGTAAGACTTTATACTTTTTTTAATATTCAATAGTTAAGTATGAAAATTTCTAGTACTTCAGATAGATTTGAATGGAAAAAAATTGGTTGGCCTGGTCTGGTTTGACTTGTTCTCCAGGTAAATTTTGCATCAGCTTTAAAAAGCAAGCACTTGTCATTTGATTTGTATATTTTTTATTGGGTCTACAAATATTTTTCTGACGAAAATGATGCGAATTATAACACAGATCTTAACGTTAAAAATGTATATTAAATTTTGTTTAAAGTAAGTTGCGGACGGTATCCCATTTTATTTCAAAAACCTTGCCAAATATTACAAATTTTTTAGTTTAGAATCAATAGTTTTATCAAGTCAAGTCCTTATAGTTTTGCCAAGCTTCAAACATGCATTTCATTATGTCAAAGTCAAATCAAAAATTGAATGCAATGCAATTTCTTTTCGTACATATATAACATAAGAAAAACCTAAGAGACTGGGTCCATGCTCTACTGCATTTACATATTAAGGCCAACTATAAAAACAAGCGCGTACTGCAATTTACAAGAACCTCACAAATTTTAGTAGTTTATGCTACAAGTTTATTGCAATTTTCTGGTTACTCAGCTATACAATACGCCCCAGCGCTCACGGGCCATAAAACGAATTTGTTAACCAAAACCAAAAGCGCATTAAAATCTTAATCTTTAGTGTTGACATTAAATTTACAAGCACAATGGTCGAAAAGAGCGCAATGTGAACCGGTATGGCCACGCCCCAATGCCACAAGCAGTAACATAGCCGCCCATAAAACGCTGGCGAGAACAAAGCAATTTCACACGCTCATGAATGGCAAAGTGATGCACACACACACACACACACACACACACACACACACGTAGGGACAAATACACCCGAAGAGTCCCTTATAGAGCAGAGTTCAAGAATTTATTACCCAATTTGAAATTGCAAACGAGTGCGTGATAAACCTCGAGGTAGTTGTTGCTGTCGGCTTTGTCGTTGTTGTTTGCATATACCCTGTTTTAGAATCCAACAAAGAATGCCAGACATAGCCAAGACACCTTAATTGCACTTAGCATAGTGCTCAGAGCTACACACAGGGTATGCCTGAGTTTAGCAACAGTCAGCCAACTCCAACTTTTTGCTTGCCATTGTGTGCTTTAATACAAAACAACGTGGTTTATGACATGCAAATGCAAGTCAATCCATTGGTCAGGGTGGACGTCAGGTTCGTGTGCAAACAGTATGTAAAAATGGAAATAAGCGTACATAGCGCAAACACAGCCAATACATACATAAATCTACACCTACACATACACACACGTGCGCACGCACACGCACGCAGAGGAAAAGGCAATCTCTCTCGGTGAAGATACTAAAAATCAATGTGTACAGCTGGCAGCAGATGGAGATCCATAAAGATAGTACGAAGACTTCTTGCCCCCAATTTTAGTTAAACTTGAAGTCAAGGTAAAGCGGCAAATGCAGCGCACAAGAGTTGCGCACGTGGCAAGTGCCGCAAGCCTTTCTATGCAAATGCCAAAAGCCATGCTAATGCAAATGCGCATAAATGGCAACTGCCAACTGCCAACTCCGTACGTCCCACCCCTTACCCGCTGTAATTCCATGAACGTGCCCCAACGCTCCCCGTTTTCATTTAGAAATATATATATTTTTGTTGTTGTCAGCTGTGAAATGTAGCCGCGCTTTAAGTGGCTATTCGACAACTGCCGGCTGTCCCCGTGCCTCTAGTCCATTTGCATACATGTGAAGTTGCCCGACTTCCTGTTGCCCCCCTTGTGCTCCAAACAGCCCACTGGTTCGCTCCCTTTGCCTAAAATGCACCTTGTGGTCATAAATTTAGCTTTTTGCTCCATTGAAGAATTTAAATATATTTTCATTTCGTATGCGCCAGCTTTTCGAGATATTTTCGATTGAAATAAACAAATTTATTACCCACAAATAAATTCTATTTAACATATATATTTCTTGTGGATTTTCCTTGTGCATTCGAAATCCATTTGTTTGCGCAAAAACAATTGACATTTTAAGAATAGCTGAGCTCAAGCAATAGGAAACTTAATAATTGATTAGCCACACGAATGTGGCCAGAACGGCAAGAGCTTATTGAAAAAACCAAAATCTAGAATAAATGTTGTTCAATGAGCATCGAAAATAAGTCAAACAGTTTACAGTGTGCCAAATGCAAAAATTGTTTTATTTAAAAAATATTAAATAAATAAAATTAATTAAACAAAATGTTCAATTCTTTACCTACACTGCCTAAACGTGGGGGATATTATTTATAGTTTACAATGTATTGTTAGGCAATTTTAACTTTTACACCAACAAAAAAAATGTTTTTATTTTATTTTAAATATAAAGTATATTACTTTAGCTTGTATTAAGATTATGCTAATGGAAAACTTCTGAAATACCAGATATCAGAACTCTACGCTACACATCGTTCTGTCTGTTCCATTCGGCTAGCTGTTCAATCTGCCATGAAATACTAACTTTTTATTCAATGATTTTCTGTTTTTACAGGCTGAATAACGCTGGAGGCGTTTTAAATTAAATCAAGTTGACAGCACGTGGGGGCAAATCAAACAGAAATGAACTGTTGAATGGCTGTCGAGGATTAGATAGAAGCTCCCAACCCATTTGCGCGCGGATATTTAAGGCCGCCAATATTAAAAGAAGGCATCAGGGCCGGAAGCGAACGTGCATGAACTTAAATCTAGAGGCTAATGTAACAGACACAACCACAGCCACAGGCACAGCTACAAGGGCTGAAGATGACAACACACAAGCATTTGACGGAAACAGTTTGAGTCGCACTCATCAATTACCCCTTCCAGCGGGCACCTGCGCTGCTTCGCTGCCCATTAAAGTCGGAGCTAACAAAACAGCAGGCTGTTAGGCAACAGGCGATAGCAACAGGTCGTCAGAACTTTGCTTAGAGACCCAACCCCAAGCACATAAGTGGCCATCTACGTGACTTTATCAGCACACGCAGCTGGAGCCGCAGTCAAGCGCTTAACTGAAGAGCTTCGCACAAGGTGGAGGCGGCACATTAACCAGCAGATTGGGGCTGATTTACTGGATGTGTGAACAGCTAGAATAATGAGTATATGCAGCAGTCCGGCATCACAGCGAATCCGTAACCGTATACACAAACAGTGAGAATCATGACCGATGTGTCTGCGGCAGCTGACGGGGTCGCCGGTGGCGCCTGCGAGCGAGCACGCACAACAAACTCAGAGGCGCCAGCTGAGTCTGCGTCCCTAACAACGTCTACTTCAGTGTCCACGAAACCACTAATCAATGGTGCCAAAAAGGCGACAACAACAGCAGGAACAGGAACAGCAACAGCAATGGCAACCACAAGCAATCAAGCCAAATTGGAGCGTCACTTGCAGAGCAACAACAATCAACATGCAGCCGCAGAAACGCCGACTTCGCCGTCGCCGTCGGCAACGTCATCGCAGCCATCGCAACCATCGCAACCATTGCTGGCCAAACCAAAGGTTTCCGCTGACAGCGAACCGTGTGGACCTGCGGCCAGCGACAATTTGAGTGGCGCATCTACTTCTTTGGCGTCCGCCAAGTGCAGCAGCAAGCAGGATGTTGACGAGGTGGCCCGCCTGTTTGAGGAGAAGCCCGAGGCGTTTGAGAAATGGCTAACGGAACGTGCCCCGCCTGAGGCGCTGAGTCGCCTACACGAGTTCATTGAGAGCCGTAAGCCGCACAAACGCCCCTCGGTCACATCGGATTTGTTCCAGCAGTGGATGGCCTCGCCCGTTGTGCAGCAGGTAAGTGTTTGTTAAAAATATAGCATACTTTTTGGAGACGTCGACCAAACCACTTGCCCAGCAGCTGGGTAAACTCAATTTGCTGTTGCAATAGCGTGCGCTTGTCTTAAAAATAAATTCCTCGGCTGCAACTGCAGCTCTGTTTGATATTTAATTCATCAGAGGCGTCAAGTGGCAGCAACAGAAGCAAAAATGGAAGTACAAATTTTTCTCTCCAGCTAAGCAGCTGACCTTTTTATATACTCTATAGAATGATTTTTAGCAAGTGTATGTAAGACTCAGCCGCGCTGCTTTCGAAACTATAAAGTAAATATATTCTCTGCTAATAACTATGGGCTTATCTGCTAAGAGAGCTCTTTGAAAAGAACAATTGCACTGATCAAGAATAAATTATTTTTTACAATTGTATTATTTAAATCTTTGCACTTTATAAGCACCAAAGTACCGTGTGGTTGTGTATGTGTGTATGTTTGAATATTAATGATTGTCAAAACTTTGACGACGTACGTGCTATCTCCAAATCGGCCACTCTCGACTAGAGTACTCCTATATAAGGCAGAAGGAAAGCCATGGCAAGTTACGCTTTGTGAGGGACATATTTTAGCTGCTGCATTTGGTAGAAGAGGGTCAGGGTATCGCCTAGACCGGAAACTCGCGACGCGAGCCTTATACTTATTTTTAAACGCGAAACTTTTCTAGCTTATAATGCATCTAAAATTACTCTTGTTATTTTTTTTTTTGCCGTTTATAAATTAGAATTCGTTAGTGTTTTGTGCAGCGTTTGCGTAGAGAAGCTTGCTTTGGCTTTCTTTAAAATTGAATTTCGTCGCGCTTTGCTTTGGGCAAATATCCCAAGTTAATATTTTTTCAACGATTCGGTTTAGTTTGGTGCTCACTGTTTGAAAGTTCACTTATTTACGCATGCCCAACACTTTCAATGTCTATTGTGGATTTATGATTTGTCAATGTAAAAATGCTAATGTGTAGGGTCTCTACTTAGCCTTCGTTGTCATGATCCTTGGAAGCTGGTGATCTTGAACGAACAATCCCATGTGGACAGAATTAAAAATCTATTGCAGCAATAGACCAAATAATGTTGCAGAATTCAAATTTATTGGGTTAGGCAAATGTTGGCCTTTTCTGGTATATTTTGACCTAACCAACTGTGTTGCGTCTGCGATTCCTGTTTCTATTTCTTCGGTTCCTGTTATTTGCCATCAATGCGGCCCTCCTTCTTGCGGCAGCTTGCCGTCTAGCACGATTCCTCCTCCTTGCATTCCTCCGGCGCTGCTGACGCCTCATCCGCCTAATTCGGTTTCTCAGCCGGTTGGCTCTAGCCTGAGCCGCAGCCAATTGCGCAGCCGTCTCCGTGTCAGTTGATGAGCCTGATCCCGTAGAACTTGAGGGAGAACTTCCACTGCTAGGCGGTGTTGTCGCAGTGCTGCCAGTTGGCGCCGGTGTAGTCTCTGGGGTGGCCGGTGTGACCGGTGTGGCTGGTGTAGCTGGTGTAGCTGGTGGGGCTGGTGTGGCAGGCGTGTTGGGCGTTGTCGGGGTCGTGGCTGGACAGCTAGGGTCCGTTTGGTTTTCAGGAATTGCGCATTCGGTTTCAGTGCAGTCGCCCTCTATTTTACATGCCGCATTGCTGCCTCTAATGAGACAAATGGCCAAAATGGCACAGCCAAAGATCATCGTTTGGACTCTCATCTCGATGCCAGCGAGGTGTTTTGAATGTCTACCTATGGCCCCGGCAGCCGATTTTATAGCGATTTGGAATCTATAAATTGTATTGTTAATGAATTGAAGCAGCTGTAACAACAAAGAGCAAATCCAAATCATGTTTAAAGAATTAGTTTTTTTGTCTTGTTTGTGATAGACCGGGCAATTGCATTGCAATTTCTATTAAATTGAATTTGACTTGTTCAATATCAAAAGTATTTCCATTTAATATTTAATTAGCTGTGTTTAACAACTTTTTGGTTCTTTCTAACACGCGCTGCCAAATCTATGACGAATGCAAAATCTTCTCCGAAACATTCAATAGTCAGATATGGATAACTCGACCATTCCTCCCAAGATCATCTTTAAGGCTAAAGCCAAGCTATTGGTTAAATATATATTTTATGATTTAAAGAGTTCAATACTTTAATCAAAGTATTATATTAGCTCTGGGCTACAGGGGATTTTGTAATCTACCACAGTGCTCTTACATGTCTGAAGAATTGGTAAAAATGAATTCAAGTTTTTCTTTATTCCTTTAATGTATTGCCTGTCTTTGTCTATGTTTAAGGATAGAGTATATTATATGTTAAATGTTAACGGATTCAATTTGATTTCATTATATTGAATATTGAATTCTAATTTTTGAAAGTCCAAATATTTCATAATATTCAATTTGTATGAATATAGCATATGTTGAAGGGATTTCTTATTTCTAGAATAGAAAAGCTGATGACTATAAAACTGGTAAAAAAAAATGTTCTCGCGTAAGAAAAAGGAATTTTTTGAGGCATAATTTAAGGCGTGACACATGTTAGATATAAGAATGCCCTAATGCACGCATTTAGATTATTCTCAGCTGAAAGGGGAAGTTAGATCAGGTGAAACTTAATAGTAGAGGAATATTGGAATATTTAAGGTTTGTATTGCTAAATAAAAATGCCTTAACTAATGCTTTAGTTAAGAAAAGCCAAATTAACTAAGTGAGAGATCCAATTTGATATACATTATCAACTAGTTTGATGCAAATATTTATATTCCGTGATGTATTAATGGTGTATTAATAAAAACACAAAAAAAAATAAAGAAAATTTGTGTCAATTGATATCGAAAAAGATAAACAACTATTCTGGATAAGAATTATAACTGTTCAATCGACATAGGACAAAGAACATTCAAACAACAATCGCTCTTCGTTTGCCATGATATATGTACCCAATCGACTTGACGTAGTTCTAGAACTCAAAAATAATGCCAGCCACAATAGCCTTAGGAAATTTCGGTAAATATAGCCTTTTCCAAAGATTATTTGTAACAACTGACTTTTGACTGTACATTCCCCAAAAACTCAAGGTTCCTTGATCATATTGTTAGATACCATGCAATACTGGGCCAACAGCTTTATCCGGATTTTTGACTGTGATAATGTAACTATTTCAATTCAATTTTCATGTAAGAGACAAGTGTGTTATTGGATATGCAATGTAAATATTTATTGAAAGAGTTTGGTTAGATCATCAATTTGGTTTCTTTAGTTGTTTCTGTTCCAGTTCTTAATCTTCGCAACACTGATCGGCACTAATATTTTGGTCCTTTTGGTTGTCTTGGATTTAGTGGTTTTCTTTGATACCCTCCGAGCAGTTCTACATCTTGTCAACCTTAACCTAAGGCGCCTGTTCTGCCTACGTAGGGCAAGAATACGTCTGCGAAGACGGCGAATACTGCTACTTCCAGAAGATGTCGAAGTTGTGGTAGAGGCAGTAGTTGCGCTTGAGGAAGCAGAAGTAGTAGCAGCAGCCGCACTGCTGGCAGTTGTTGTTGCTGCGTCAGAAGCTGTCGTCGTTGCAGCGGCAGCGGCAGGCGTAGTTGTATCCGCGGTCGTGGTGGCACAGCTAGGATCTGATGCATTGGCAGTGTCCGCGCATTCGGTTGCAGTGCAGGCGCCGGCTGTTGCACATGCCGCATTGCTGCCTCTAATCAGGCAAATGGTTAAAACGGCACAGCCGAAGATCAACGTTTGGAATTTCATCTCGATGCCAGAGCGAGTGTTGGATTCGAATGCCAAACTGGGGCTCCGTCTGCTCATTTTATATCAATTTTGAATTTCCGCATTTGAATATTACAATTCTTTTCGGCTGTGGCTTCTGAATAAACAAATAAATAGTCCAAAGTATGCTTACATTTATGATCTGATTTTTCAAATTGCCGAATTAAAGTGGGTATTCTCACTTTGCCACCAACTGCGTAACACTTGGATAGAATAATATTTACCACAATTTTTTTTCTAATATTATTTGAACAACTGTTTTACGAGTGTTCTGGTAGGGTGTGCCATAGAGCCCTGAACACGTCTCTAACTGCGCACTTTACAGAGCAGGTCTGCTTCTTCACCCAGCCATAGACTTTGGGCAATGCAGTCCTCAATATACAACTCCTCTGTGTGTACAGCAAAGAGTGAACCCTTCAAAATAAGATTTTTTAATTCTAGGGATTCCCCTAGTCGGATATATCAAAAAAGCTAAATATTTATAATCTGTGTATACCATACGAGAGTCTACAAGTTTGATGCCTCTACCCCTTAATAATCGAGTTTCTCAATAACATATTAGAATCGAATGAATCGATAATATATAGATATTCCACATTGATCGGCTCAACTCCTCGTCTTGATCAAGATTATATTTATTTTATCCGGTCGGAGATGCTTCCTTAAAAAAGCATTTACTCTTTTACTCATTGTCAATGGGTTAAGGGTATTATAATGTTGGCATAACAAAGTCAATATGCATTTCCAACTTAATGAACAACAAGCACATAACATTGTGAGACAACCAAATGTTTGTGCACGGAACCAACTTATTTGTATGTTTGTGTGTTGTACAAATCTTTCGACTATTGAAAATGTATTTATGTGGGTATTTGAAGAGAATATTTATTTAATAGTAAATGTTACCTGTTTGACTGTTAAGACTTACAAAAAAAATTTACAAGGATAGGTTGTTTATATAAACCAATCTGAGAGATCGATTGGATGAAATATCCGCAATATCCTCCGCCCTCGGACTCCTCAATTCTACGCCTCTTAGAAGCCACCTAGCCAGACGATTTGGATGATTCCCAAGCCGCGTAATATAGTTTGCAGCCTAAGTTAACATTGTGATTTAGTTAGTAAAACAAATTCATACGATCAAGAAAATCTTATTTGAAAAGGTAGTGAATTATAAACTTATTCAAGATGTATAAAAATACTAACAGATATTAGACGGCCTTGCCCGGATACTTCA